CAGAAGGGGGTACAGAAAAGAAGGGGAGGGGTGGGATGGGGAGGTAAAAATAGATTCCATCAATGCACTGTATCCACTGTTATACAACTGGCAATTAAAATATATACAATATATAAATTATATACAATATATACATAAGATGTACACACTCTATACCTAGCAAACGGTACTTTCTGCTTCCTCTATGGGACAGTGTGTTGTGGTCATACAATAAGCGTATCCCTATGGGAAAGCCTAATAATTTCTTCCATCTCTCGCTCTCCGTGTCCCCACGGCGGTTTGCTGATTCCCGCCCACTTGGTAGGTACAATCACATGTATTTGACAGGTACATTCGCAGTTAGTTATAGGTACATTCACAGTTATTTATTACGCGATCTCCATGAGTCCCACATATACCATGTTTCCAGGGAAGTATGATTAGATGGGAATAATGTTTTTAATCCTTTCTCATATGAACGTTGTGTATCCAGATCCGTAAGTATACGTTGGGGGGGATGTTTGTTACCAGCTTTGAGCGATTGATCGCTGCGCTGTCAGTATTATATGTAATAGAAGTTTTTGTGTAGCCTTAGGTAGCCCCTTTGGGAGGTCAGTTATCAACAGGTGTTGGGCTGCTAAGGGAATAGAGCAACCCGTTGCCGCCTGTGCCATCTTGTGGACACCTGCCCAGAAGGTCTGGATGCGGGGGCAAGACCACCAAACATGTAGGACAGTGCCCTCTGCTCCATTGCATCGCCAGCACACATTTGAGGTGTTTGGGTATATTCTATGTAGCTTACTCGGTACCATGTACCATGTACCATCTATACATCGTTTTGTAATGTTGTTCTATATGGGTAGACGATTCAATCAGGAGGCGAGGTAATCTGAACATGCGTTCCCAATCTTTGCTTGGGAAAGAGCAGTTTAGGTCGGCTTCCCATAGTTGTGCTATTTTTGAGACAGCAAATGGTAAGTGCTTTGAGAGTAGTCGGTAACTCATGGAGATCGGTTTACACATAGGGAGTAACCCAGTAATGCACATTTTTTTCCCATACATTAGGTGTTGTGGGCAGTGTGTTGGATGCAGCGTCCCTACAGTAGTGTTTGGTCAGGAATGATCTTAGCTGGATGTAGGTGTAGTGGGATGCCTTGGGTAGTGAGTGCTGCTTTTCTAGCACTTCAAAGCTTAGTAGTGCGCCCTGTTTGTACAAGTGTTCCAGATGCGTGACAACTCGGGTGTGCCACGGCGAGGCGTGGAATGTGGGGATACAGTATGCAAGGGATGTGACTGGTGTTGCTAATGATAGACCGGTGTGACCACTTAGTAGGGTTGTATGTTTGTCCCAGAGCTGCAAAAGTAGTGTAATCGTTGGGGGTGCCTGGGGCATCTGTAGTCTAATTTTTGGGGGTATCCAAACTATATTGGCTAAGGCGTGTGGGGCCATAAGCTCTCATTCCAGTTGCACCCACTACGGGGGTGGGTCATGGAGAAAATGGGGAAGGGCAGTAGCTATGACAGTTGCTTAGTAATACGTACGAATATTGGGTAGCGCTAGTCTCCCATCATGTTTAGGTGCGTTAAGCAGGGCTTGGGTCACCCTCTGTTTGCCCCCTTTCCATACAAAGTGGTTTACGTCCGATTGGACTGTTTTAAAGAAGGACCTGGGGAGCTCCAGTGGCAAATTGCGAAACAAGTAGAGCAGTCTGGGGAGGATCGACATTTTGATCGTTATGACCCTCTCTGTCCAGCACAAGAACATGGGGGACCATTTCTTAAGTAAGTCACAGCAGTTATTCCATACAGTCACATAGTTTGCAGCGAATAGGTCTGTGTGGGCCCTCGTGTATGTGATCCCTAAGTATTTGAGGGTGTCTGTTCTCCATTTGAACGTGTAGGTCTGTTGGAGTTGTGTGACCAGGGTAGTTGGAAGGGATATGCATAGTGCTTGTGTTTTGGATGCGTTGAGGGAGTAGTAGGACACCTTCCCATAGTCTTCTATCTTCCGCATAACTACTGGGAGTGTGGTGTGTGGGTGTGTTAGGTATAGCAATATGTCGTCCGCAAAGGCCCCTACTTTGATCACCTTGTGGCAGACTCTCACTCCCTGGACTTCGTCATTTGTTCTAATCCCCTCTAATAAGGGCTCTAAAGCCAAGACGTATAACAATGGGGAAAGCGGGCATCCCTGCCGTGTCCCGTTCGTTACGTGGAATGGGGAGGAGAGGAACCCCGATTGGAGCACCTGTGCTGTGGGATCTGCGTAAAGTGCAAATATTTGTTGGCTAACTCGGGATGGGACCCCATACGCCTCTAGAACCCCTTTGAGGAAGGGCCAGCCAAGGCGGTCAAATGTTTTTTCGGCATCTAGTGCGAGTACAGACCGCCCTGTCTGGTCCCCCACAGCTGCTGGAGTATCACTGCTAGTTTGCGAGTGTTATCCAGGCCCTGTCTGACTTTTACAAAGCCAGTTTGGTCATCCTTAATAAGTGAGGGTAGCAGGGGGGCAAATCGGTTTGCTAAAATCTTTGCATACAGTTTAGCATCCGTATTAAGTAGGGAGATGGGGCGGAAATTTTTACAGCTGTCGGTTGGTTTACCGGGTTTCGGTAGGGTCACTATAGTGGCTAGTAGCATTTCTGTCGGCAGTGTTCCCCTCTCCATTGCCTGGTGAAAGGTTTCCAACAAATGTGAAGCTAGCGTCGAGGCGTATTTTTTATAATATAGATTAGAGAGCCCGTCTGCTCCAGCGGACTTGCCGCCAGGCAAGCCTTTGATGGTGTCCTCCACTTAAGTCAACCTGAGGGGACGCGTCATGGTCTCAATTTGGTCTTGTGAAAGTTTAGGTAGATTGATGAGGTCAAGATATGTTTTCACTTCTATGTCCGTGGGGGTGTGTGTGTTAGGGTCATCTTTCATATTATATAGTTTGGAGTAAAATTTGGTGAACGTGTCGCTAATCTCTTGTGGCCCCAGTTTCTTTGTCTCGTCTTCCCCTAGTATATGTGCTATCCTGTTAGTCAATAGTTTGTCTCGCAACCGTGCCGCCAGATATTTGTTAGCTTTCCCACTAGCGTGGTAAGTATTAGCTTTTAATCTATTCAATAGGTACGCTGTTTTCATTGCGTTCGGTGTGTGTAGTTTGCGATATGTTTGCTGGATTTCCGCAGCAAGTTCCCTTGTGGGGCTGATTTTATTTCTGTCTTACAGTTCCGCAATTCGCTTATGGCACTGGAGGACCTCCCCCTGTCTCTGCCTTTTTAGGTACGCCGATCGCTTAATGAATGAGTCTCGTACGACTGCCTTATGGGCAAGCCAAACCGAGATTTCAGATACATCTCCCCCGCTATTCAGGTGGAAGTAGTGGTCTAATTCGTTTTTTACAGTGCCGGCAAAGGCATCATCAGATAGCAGTGACTCATTAAGCTTCCAAGTCCCTTTCCCTCTGAATTGGAAAGTGTCATGTAATGTAATGTAGACAGGGCAATGGTCCGACCAAGCAAATGTTCCTATGTTGCAGTCTGCCATTTGGGCTAGTGAAATGCCATCAAGTAGGAACGCATCTATGCGGGAATAAGAATTGTGTACCCCGGAGTGGAACGTGTAGTCCCTCTCCGTGGGGTGCGTGGTTCTCCAGCCAACGTAGAGACCATGTTTCGAAATGAGGGCAGTGAGGTGTTTGCAAGTGTTGGAGAGACATCTACCCCTATTGCGGGATGGCTTAGCTGATGTGTCCAGCTGTGGTTATTGGATAAAGTTAAAGTCCCCACACAGAATAAGGCCTCCCTGGCGGTAGTCCTCCAGTATCTGGAGAAGTTTGGTTAGGAAGCCTGCTGAGTCAGAGTTAGGGAAGTAAGCCGTAACCAATGTGTACTGTGTGGCATTAAAGAGGCCTACTAAAATAATAAATCTCCCTTGTGGGTCAATATATTGTCTCTGAACAGTCAGGGCTATGTCTCTACTAATGAGAATCAATACCCCTTTTGTCTTGTTAGTGGATTTAGAGTGGTATTGAGTGGGGTAGTTTTTATTAAATAACCTTGGTTCCTGTGATGATTTAAAGTGGGTCTCCTGAATACAAGCTATATCAATATGTTGTTGTTTCAGAGTCTGAAACAATTGATTCCTTTTATTTGGGGAGTTGAGCCCCTTTACATTATAGGAGATTACTTTCATAAAATATGTTTCGGTGCCGGGTAGCTATTGGCTCGTGTCGTCTAGTGGTATAGAATGCATACCTTTGTGAAGTGCTCGTGTTGTAGAGCACATCATTGCTCAGCTGTCTCGTTGTTGTTACATTGGGTATCTCAACGGTGCAATTGATCGAAATCAAACTTGGTGGAGGGAAGGAGGGGATGAAAGTAAGGGTAGTATAGGAAAACATTAAGAAACAAGTTACAAGGAGCTCAACCTCGTGAGCTATATCGTGCCTAGGTATGCTAGGCACAGGTAGTGGGTGACGTGGCCTTCAGTCAGTTTGGTGTTGTGCTGACCATATCTTGGGGGGTGGGAAGGAGCCACGCATGGGAGACAATAGTTTGGTTAATGACCAGTTGTGTAGGGATTGAAAAAAACCTCTTTACAGGAAGCCCAGTCAATTTGCATTAGCGCCTTGCCACGCCTGTACCCGGTTGCGGCAAAGGTGGTGTGTCCTAACTTATGAATGCCAAAGGGCAGCGTCGATTCTAGCCGTCAACTAAAAGTTGTTGCATTCACCTAACAAGTTAGATATGTCACACAATGAATATACATTTAAACATACATGGCCTTAATTAGCGGTCTTAGTACTAGGCTAGACAAGTGACAAAGGCATAGCATATAAACATATATGGGACGGTTAGTGAGATAATGGTCTAGCAGTTATGCAGTGTATACTCAGCCTCCAAGTTAGGCCATGGACCAGTCTTCAGACAGTCTGGGTATCTTTGCCGCAGGTTGTACTGGTGTGTCCGGCTTAGGGAGTACCCAATCTGCCAGCTTCTTTCATGATGGACGATGAGCTTAGCTGGGAAGCCCCATCAGTACGGATCCTCGTGTGCTCTCAGTGCGTTGGTGGTAGGGGCTAATGACTTGCGAAATTGGAGTGTGTGCATTGACAAGTCCGCGAAGATCTTCAGGCCTCCATATTGGGAGGGTAGGTTGTTGTTTCTGGTAACTTTGACAATTTTCTCTTTGATGTGGAAAAAAAGCACTCTGGTAATGACATCTCTGGCTGCCGAAGTTGGCAGGTGTTGGGGTCTCCTGAGTCTATGTGTCCTATGTAGGACCACTTGGTCTGGGTGTACTTCAGGCAATAGGTCCAGGAAAAAGGTGTGGATGTAGTTGTGTAAGGCCTCATTCGTAATGGATTCAGGAATGCCCCTGATGCGCAGGTTATTTCTTCTGGATCTATCCTCCAGATCAGCAATTTTCAGGTTTTGTTCTTTAAGAGCCTGTTGTAGATGGTGAAGCTGGTCGGCCATGCTATTGTGCACTGAGGCATGCTTACTGAGTGTGTTCTCTATGTGGGACGTGCGTAGGCCCAAGTCCTGTATGTCCCTCCTGAGTTCGCCTTCTAGCGTTTTCAGTTGGCCTGTAATGGTGCCTTGAATTTGCAACATGAAGTCTGTGTAACGAGAATATACCCCTACACGCAGGATCCAGCTAAACAGAGGCAAATACAGAGGATAGATACGTCTACCGGACCTTAGAATGGCCGGACTCGACGTATATGAGAGGAGACAGAGCCAGGAACAAACCGAGGTCAAGGGCACAGAGAGACAGCGTAAACTAGGACAAGCCGGGGTCTGGTACACGGAAAACAGCAAGCCGGCAAACAGTACAGATAAGGATAAAGCGAAAACGAAGTCAGAATACGAAGCCAAAGTCAATACGAGAAAACACAACTGAACACCACAAGCGCTAAAGGGAACTGAAACAGAAACCACGATAGGGCAACGAGCTAAGGGAAAAAGGTAAGTTTAAATAGCTTTAAAACGAAAGTGATTGGCTCCTGTCACTTCCACACCCCCTATAGGTAATTGTACAGGGAGTGTGGTATGACAGGAGCCAATGGGAGCCTTTTGGCAATTAGGCTCCCACTGTCTCTTTAAGAGCGCGCCCGAGACTCGCGGCGCGCTCTTAGTTTCAGGCGGGACACGTGACCGCTTCACGCGGTCACTGCCCGCCTTCCATCCAAAGCAGTCGGATGAGCCGCGCGCGGCTCGTGCAGCCGCAGGACCGCGCGCGGCTTGAAGAGAGGACCGCGACCGGCCCCCGGTTAAGGTAAGTAACGCTACAGTCTGCCATGAAGGACTTCATTGTGGCTATTGTGAGGGGGCTATCCTCTAGTAGTGAGGTAGGCAAGGATGGGGGAAACGGAGAGCCTTCCCTCGATCCCTGGCTGCCGCCATCTTGGATTCCCTCGCGGGAGTCGCGTGGTCTGTTACTCACGGCTTTTGCCATAAAGAAGGATGCTTTATCCGCTTTTGTCGGTTTCTTGGTACTCCGGTGAGACATTGCACCGGTCTCTGCTTGTGTACTGCGCAGATAAAAAGCTATGTAGTCCGTTTATTTTTCTCCCTTAGCGTGTATCTCCTCGGAGCTCTAAGGAGATACGTCCATGTGGCTCGGGTGTTAGGCCACGCCCCCCGGATGTATGAATATTTAACATTCATTGATTGCCTGCATTATTTCTTTATTTAATACGTTTATTTCCTTATGACTAAGCCTTTTTCACATTTTTCTTTTCTGTTTGACTCACTTCTGTGGACGTGTTTGCTTGGAATCGATGTTCAGTGGGATGCTGTTTCATGTTTTCTGTTTTCTCTATTTTGCCTGTGTCGCATAAAGATAGAAGAGGTGCTTGGGTTCACTGTGCCTTATATAGAGATTACTTCTTTTTGATTTAATTTCTTACTTGGTTCTTGTTTTTTCTATAGGTTTCTTTGCTGCTCTTAAGTTAAGTAAAGAAAGATAAGCAAAATACTCCTGTCATTATTACAATTCTGATTATTATTACACTAACGCTAGCATAATCTTCAATTTTAACATTTTGATCAGGATTACTTCTGACTTGAAAAAAAGAGGAGACTTTCAAAAGCTTTACTTTTAGTATCTTGTGATAGTCTAATAGAAAAGTATCACTGCATATTGTTTGCATACATGTATATGTTTCTGGTCGACTGAAACTGATGAACCAGAGGAATGAAACTTATATAAGACTTATGCTAATATATAGTCTAACTTCTCTGACTTAATTGATATTTTTCACCATATTATTTTACTTTACTTTAAGTCATATCTATTTCGACGATAAATGATCATAAACAAAAACAAGATTCTGTAAATGTGAGATTTCATTCGCAGTATTCATAACACAAATACTTATTTGTAATAGAACTCCTGGCTATTTCCTGAGGCTATTCTATTTTTTTTTTTTGCTTTCCTAAAGTATTTATGCAAATGTGAACTGTGGTACATATTGCTTAATTACAAAATATCTGAAACATAAATTTCTAACAAAGAGGGAAGAATCATACAGTTCTGAATTCCCAAAACAAAGAACTTCTGTTGATTAGATTTGTACTTTCTAAGTCAGTATGTCTTCAGGCAACACATAATAAATATATAATTAACAATATACATTAGTATGCACAAGTAAAGACTGATAAGTCAAATAAAGTAGCATGTGTTGCTCAGCAACTCTGGATATCATTTAAAACAGTTAAATCTTTTACCATGTGAACACCAGTACACCCCACTGTTCATCCATCCAATCCCATACCTCACTTGGTTTCAACTATTTGTTGAAATGAAATGAAAAAATTGTGGAAGATTTCATTTAAAATTTCCAAAATATTCTACTCTTTACTCCCTTTGAGTATTAAAAGAGAATTAAAAAATTATATAAAATGTAACATTGCTTGCATATCTAATAGAAAAGTGTGGAGAAAAACAATGATCTGTATAGGAAGTATCTCCAGGTAAGCTGGCCTGTAAGGAAAGTATATGAGTTAGATGTTGGAGAAAGAAAACATGATCATTGCTGACGTCAGAGGATCTATCAGTGCTATAGTCTGAATTTATAAAAACATACAGTTGTGGTTCTCCTGCCTTGTGCTCTGGTCAATTGTCTGTTAACTTAGACATAGATTGCCTTTATGAGTGCCATCATTTTGATATACTAATGGCAATGTTTCTGTGTAACAGAATAAACTTAACTAAAAAATGTCTGAGTTTTGTATGGGAAACTAATAGGCAGTGAATGTCTCTTACTGTTCACTCCAAATTAAATGTCCCAAAAGTGTCTCGAATTGAATAGCACAAAAATCAGTCAGGATGATAATTAGCCAGAGATGTCCATGAGTAGAAATGGCCTGGAATAGATTAGCACATTTAATCTAGGTAACCAGAGAATAAAAATCAGAGATTGTAGGACAAGGGACCCAAAATAAATACTTTCAGAATGGATTGGAACATGATATTCACCACTAGTTTTTCCTCTAAATATATTTGCTGTGCGGACTCAGACTAAACAAATTGTTTAAATGTCTTTAAATCTTTATAACTAATGCAATGTCACTGTCTTAGAACTTGGAAACTCAGGTTTAAATCCCTGTCAAGCTACCAGTAAGTGCCCTTGGGCAAGATACCTAGTGATATACCACCACCACCACTGTATATCAACCAACCTCAAATCCACATAGATTAAGCTCCTTTGTGTATGGCCTTCTTCACCTCTCAAAATATCCTTTCTATTACTGTAAATCAATGCAGAATATGTTGATGCAACACAACTGCTAATCTTGGCTTGACTTTGTGAACAAAGATTTAGGAAGCGCGTTGTCCATGACTGTTGATGTTGGCTGACCAGTCCAATGCAAGACAGACATATCCAGCTGCAGAAGCTGGAAGGGGTCTGACTGGTCTGACTTTGATGCCACAGTGTCACAGTCCTTCTTCTGTTTTTTTTCTTTTTTATTATTCTCTAGATCTGCCCTGCATTCGTTCTCAAAGGAGGAGAAAGCACGATGAATGGTGTGTCTCCAAGTCTAGTGATCAGAGGTTATAGCATATGGGTGGAATTGGTCAATGTGACAGGCACTAAGTAATTTCTTCAGAGGGTCCTTGTACCTCTTCTTTGGTGCTTCTCTCTGATGGTGACCAGTGGTCAATTTGCCATACAGCAAACCAATGCTGTTGGTCTTCGCCTGTGTGGGAACTTTGATGTTGGTAATAAAGTAATTTCAATGGATGTTATGGATTGTGCAGAGGCAGTGCTGGTGAAAGTGCTTAAGGAGTCGCATGGTGTGGTGATAGGTAACCCATGACTCAAAACCATACAATGAAGAGGTCAGCTCTGTACACAATGATCTTTGTGCCTTTCTTCAGATGCATGTTGTTCCAGAATCTCTTATACAGTCTGCCAATTGCTCTGTTTGAATTTGCCAGTCTGCAATCTGTCTCTGTCAATCTTCATATCTGAAGAGAAGATGCACGCAAGGTAGCTGAACCCAAGGACTGTTTGATTTACCACTGGTTCTGATTTACCACTGGTGATGTGGGGATGATGGTAATCTTCATGAGGTTGAGGACTTGTGTCTTCTTCAGGCTCTTCTAATCCATAAAGCTCAGCAGCCTCTGCCAAGCAGGAAATTATTAGCTGCAGGGCTGTCACTGCAGCATCTTCAGCAAAGATCAGCTTTCTGATGATTTGGTCCACCATGTCGGTGTGGGCCTTAGCCGTCACCTGTTAAATAGGCAGCCATCAGTGTGGTTACAGATGTAGACATTGTTCTTTTCATTAAGGTCTACAGTGGCCCTTTGAAGCATCAAGTTGAATAAGATTGTGAAGAGAATTATTGCAAGAACACAACCTTGATTTACATCATTGCCTATAGGGAAAAGTTTTGAAAGGTCATTGCGGTGTCTGATATGCCTACATTGATCTTCGTGTAGCTAAATTATCATACTGAGGAACTTAAGTGGACATCCTAGGCGTTCCAGTATTTACCACATACTTTTTTAGCTTACATTGTTGAACACCATGATGAGGTTAATGAGCATCATGTACAATCCCTTGTTCGGTTCTCAACATTTCTCTTGGAGCTGTCTGAGACCAAATACAATGTCAGTGGTGCGCCTTCTAGATTTAAAACTGTATCGGCTCTCTAGAAGAGTTAATATGCAATGATAGATACCAGTCTGTTCAAATGTTCCCTTGCAAAAATGTTTCCTGTGACGGAGCAGAATGATTCTCTGATAATTGGAGCAATCAGACTTTTCTTCCTCTTTCTTATACAAGGTGATGGTTATTGTATCTAGGTGGTTCTGTGGTAGTCAGGGCCGGACTGGGGATTCCAAAGCAGCCCTGGAAAAAAAATCTATGCCAGCCCCATAAGTCATTGCGCCATATATTGTCGCATGTAATATGTAAGGCTATGTCTTTCAACCCTAGATGATTGAGATATATATATATATATATATATATATATATATATAAAACCAAACGGATCTTGCACTCCACCAATTCAATATTCAATGCCCGGTGCTTGTCAGCCAAAAATGCAAAAAATATTGCCAGAGATAGCACTCCAAGGACTAATATAAAATATAACTTTTATTACCTCCACTAAAACAACACAAGGTCAACGTTTCAGCTTGATCCCCTCAAGCTTTCGTCAGGACATCTCCTGACGAAAGCTTGAGGGGATCAAGCTGAAACGTTGACCTTGTGTTGTTTTAGTGGAGGTAATAAAAGTTATATTTTATATTAGTCCTTGGAGTGCTATCTCTGGCAATATTATATATATCTTTTTCCAATATAAAATATTGGTCCTTTCAGAGTAAAATGTTTAATTATACAGTAAGCATACTCACATGCATACACAGACAATCTCACTGACAAGCTGATTGATACACAGCCTCATACATAAGGTTATTGACATAAAAACACAAGCTCACTCAGTAGCAGCCACACACACACACACACAAGCAAGCGCGCGCACACACACACAGCTTAATGTAGGGGTACTGGTGTCTATAGCCTGTCCCTGCAGGCTTTTCAATGTAAACACTGACTTTTAAGAGAAAAGGCAGTGTTTACATTGCTTCCTAGTGACAGACACTGAGACGGTCACTAGAGGTGCTTCCTGTGTCAGTGCGGATTGGCTGAGATCATCAAGCTTGATGATCTCAGCCGTAGAGACAGGGCCAGGCGAGGGGAGACCAGCATGACGTGGGAAAAAAAAAAAGGTGAGTAAAAACACACATACACACACACATACCATGACAGACACACACCATGACACAGACATACTGTGACACAGACAGAAACACACACACACACCATGACAGACAGACACACACCATGACAGACACGCACCTTAAAAAAGACACACACGCAGGGGGAGCTGGCTGTTGTGTCTCTACTCCCCCTCCCCTGCGCGCCGCACAGTGAGGCTGGGAGCCGGAATATGACGTCATATTCTGGCCCCGGTCTCATTAAGCGGCGCGCAGGGGAGGGGGAGCAGAGACACAACAGCCAGCTCCCCCTGCGGCCGCAAGAACAGCCAGCTCCCCCTGCGGCCGCCAAAGGAGCTCCCTCTGCGGCCACAGGTGAGCCAGCTGGCTGCCCGGCCCCAGGTGCCGACGGCCCACCGGGAAATTTCCCGGTATCCCGGTGGGCCAGTCCGGCCCTGGTGGTAGTTAGCCTTGTTCTCAGCAGCAGACAAATAAATCATTAAGTTTATTGTGTAATGCTGGGCCCTCATACTTCCAGACTTCAGGTGAAATTCCATTGACACCTGCTGCATTGCCACTTTTCAACAAGTTAATAGCCTTAACAGTTTCTTTAAGAGTGGGAATCTCAAGCTACTCTGTTTTTTCTGGCTGTTGTGGCTTTTGATGGAGTGCAGAAACTTGGACTATGCGATTTGAGCTGTAGATTAGCAATCTGATACCTCTTCCTCGGAGAACCTCCCCTCTTCAGTTTGAGTTTTAAGTAGAGACATAACTTGCATCTCACACAGACAATGGTCCATGTGACTCTCTGCGATGGGCATTACTCAAGTGAGTAGGATGTATCAAATGTCTCTTTGGCGCACCATGATATAATTCAAGTTGTCTTCAGATAAAAAATTTTTGCTGTAAGATGGTGTTAGTGATGACAAATTTCTGCTCTGCCAAAAATTCTAACAGAAGGCACCCAATGTAATTGCAGTTTCTAACACCATGCCTGCCAAGTACACCTTACAGGCTCTGAGTCCTTGCCCACACTTACATTGAATTTTCCACAGATGATAGACATTCTGCATGAGGCTGAATTGTTCAATTTTCAAATTTGTCCTTTTCAGTAGGGCATGCTTGAAGAGTTGGGGTGTACATGCAAAACAGTGTGATATTCTACTTGTTTAAAAAGTTAGAGACGCATGGAGATCATGCAAGCATCATGACCCGATGGCAGATATTAAGTTGGGAGGAAAGGGAGTTCCTGATCATAAAACCAATTCCACTGTGGCATCTCTCTGTCTTTGGCTTTCCTGACCAGTAAAGAGTGTATCCGGTACCAAGCTCTTGAAGTCTCACATTGCCTTGAGAGTTCATGGGTGACAAAAGCGGAGCATGGTTCTGATGTTCTAACATGCAAGTTTTAGTTCTGAATTCAAAAGTTGGGAGGTATGTAAGTCAAAGTACCACTGCTACATGTGGGGTTTCTGCATTATTATTTTTACAAGTATGCTTGTGTGTAGTTAGTCAAAAGGGGAGTAGTTATAGAGATATAATATTACTTACCTGAAGCTTTACGTCCTGAGTGTCAGCTATCCCTTCATCTTCTTGTGCCCATACTGTATTGTCATGCTGAATCTTATATAGATAATCTTATAAATGCACAATATGGTGTCATTAGTAACCATTACGCAAGATGAAGCCTGTTCCCAACAGCCATCCATGGCAACTGGATTTGCAATTTGTCCAAATTTTGGCTGTGCGCTGGGTTGTTAAAAAACCATCACTCTGAAGCCCCATATGAACGTAACACAAAAGCACATCATGGACAATAGCCGAATAGGTTCACTTGCTACATGATTCAAAGTTCCATCCATGGGCAAAAATAAAAAAGATGATTGATGGTTAGGGCACAGCCACTATATTATGTAAACAAATAAATAAGTAAAGAAACCAATTAATGAAAGAAAGAAAAAAAAAGAAATTTAGGGCAATTCCCTAAATTCTATACTACAGGAGTTTGGGGAAGTCTCATTTTACAGGCTCAATACAGGAAAAACACAGGCTCTAACTATACACATTCCTTGGTGTGATCTGGATGATTTGAAAACTAAAATTGACTTTGACTGGAGAGACTTTGACTGATGAAGGTGCATCTCACAAGGCACCAAACGTGTGTCGGGCGTTCTTTCCAGTTTGGTTATGGGCACTGGGCATCTGTGGATCTAGCACTATTATTTTCACATGATTTGTTTCACTTCTTGATTTTTTTTTTTTTATAATTCTTTATTTTTGTTGTGCGTAAGCTTATAACAGTCGCTCTGAAGGTACCCCAAAGGTAATCCTCCGGCGGATTAAAACAGTCAAACATAGAGGTACATAATAAAACAAGCACATTTTTTTTGTAAAGTTATACACAATCTAGTTTTACATTACGTAGGTATTGTTAGGATATGGCAGAACGTAGTTAGAAAGTTGGCGATCAAATTTAATAACTTGCTAATGTTTCTCAGGCTTGGACATTTCTATAGTTAGTTACAGGTTAAACTGGCTTAAACATGTGTGGTTGTAGTTCGCTATAACAGGTAATATAAAAAGTGTTTCAGTCGTTCTCACAAGCATCGCAACGGATTATATCTCAGTAGGACAAACAGAGAGCGCGTTTACTCCACTCTGTTCTTTATAGGCACTATGTTTGGTTACACATATGTACATAGCAGTATTTTAGGCATTCTCGCTAACATTACGTCTGATGATCTCTTAGTACAAGAAATAAAGATCCCCTTTACTCTGAGCTGTACGTAATGGACCCTGCGCTTTGTTATCTATAAAACGCTTACTTAGCTCCGACTATTAACTGCCCATCTAAACTACACAAAGCAGCAGGAGGAGAGAGTGTGCAAGAAAGAAAAGGCCGCCGAAAATATACAAGACTAAGTAGTGAAGCCGAAAAAAAAAAAAAAAATAATAGTGAGAAAAGCAAAATAATGTGCCGAGGCACAAGTTACTGGCACATATGTAGCATAGTTCCAGGTGAGTGTTGAGGCTCTCTGCCGATGGCGTCTGTTAGCTTGCCTCATTGCCTGGCGTGTCGGTGGTCAGCCGATTCCACTACTGGGCAGGGAAGCGCTTGGTGTCTGAAGTGTCTGTACGGCTTCCGCAAGTCCGGTTCCCCCAGTGGCTTGGTGTGGCGTGTCTGTTGCCCTTGCCTCGGCGCGCCGCTCTGTTGCAGCCCTGGGTCGCCACGTGGGAGCTTGGTGTTCTGTGGAATTGTGTTTTGGCGTGTTGCTGGGGCCTTGGGGGTACCCATCTCTCACCTTACCCTGTTTGTGGAGGTGGGTGAGTGTGCCCGGGCCTGAGAGGTTCGCTTCTCGCCCTGTTGTGGGTCGATGCCTGTGTGGCCGGGCTGCCTCCCTGAAGGACCGCAGTGGGTCTCCATATCGGCGTCGGCGGGTCTCCGGACGAACCCACGAGGCTACCACCCGTGCTGCATGAGGGTAGGGCACTCCCCTGTCACACAGTATCCTGCAGAAAGCCGAGCAGAGCCGGTCTAAGGCTACTAGAGGATGAGGGTGCTCCTGGGTGATTTTGGTTGCTTTCTTTAGTGGTCGGTGGGCGGCCATCTTGGGCACACTCTGCTGGCTCGTGCCTTCGCCGCTGTCAGCGTTGTCTCCCTTGCCTTCTGCGTTAGCCTGCTTGTCTTGTGGGGACCGGGATATCCCCCACCGGTCCAGGGGGGGGGGTAGGAGTTCAATCGTGTGTTCTGAGGTGTCTGGAGTCAAAGAGAGCGGCCGCCTCTCCCCGGCTCCAACTCCCGCAGGCCTCAATTTGCGTTGCGGTCTATGTGCCCCTACAGGATCCAAAAGGGTATCCCCCGATTCTTTGGGGCTCCCCCAGCGTGGGTAGAGCACCTTAGTACGTCTTTGGGCTACACAGCTGCTGATATCGCCTTATTTTCTGCTCGCCCGCCGGGAGCTCCTTCCCCATGCGTCTGTTCAGCTTGGCGGTCAGACTCCGCCCCGTTCACTTCTTGATTTTAACTTCTTTATTCTTTGCTTCTATGCCTGTCTAGATAGATTACCATGAGAGGCTTTTATTAACTTACATTGTCAGTTTTTTTGATACTGACGTTCTGACTATATATAGCATTCTCTCTTTACTCTCCTACTGACAGTTCTCTTCCTCCTTAGTCCTGTCTGTACTTTAACCCTTTCTATGCTGATTTAAGATTGATTGTTGGGACTATGTTTAGCCTCACACTATATTCTGCCATTTATTGAGGGTTCTACTATAAGCACAGTCTTTAACCCCTTAACGCCGTTACAGCGTTCTATGCCGTCCCGCATTAAAAGGGTTTTAAAGCCATTGCGGGGGCATAGAACGCTGTAACGGCTTTCTATCCCTGGAGGTGAGATTTACTTACCTCCGCCGCAATCCTCTTCTGGAGGGCTGCCCGACAGCCCAAGCAGCCCTCCCTCGGCAAAGGAGGCCCCCTGGGGGCCATGTGATCGCTCTCAAAGAGCGATCACATGGCCCCCTATAGCTGGCTCTGGATCTGCCAGCAGGGGGACTGTCTGAAATGTCAGACAGTCCCCTTGCTGGTGGAAAAGTAAAAAAAAAAAGAATTAAACATGTGTAAAATTATAATAGAAATGTATTTATATATATAATATATGTATATCTATTATATATATAATATATATATATATACATATTATATATATGTAACGTCATACAAAGTGTATTCTAATATTAATATAAGTACATATACTAGTATTAAAATACACTTAGAATGACGTTACATATATATAATATGTATATATATTATATATAATAGATATATACACATATATTATATATATATATATATATACGTATAAATTACAACAATAAATAAATAAAATATTGATACAAAATTTAATATAAATTATATATTCATATGTAATTTCATTCTAACTGTATTTTGTTATTAATATAAATATATATATTGGTAACAAAATACACTTAGAATGACATTCTATATATATCTATCTATATATAAAATACAAATAACCGCAAATATATAAATACATATAATTACATAAAAGATTACATTAGTATACACGTAAAATTTAAATACCTATAAATGCATATATATTAAAATTCTACGTGTATATTTAAGTAATCTTTTAACATAATTATGTGATTTAATTAATTAAAATTTGATTGGCATGCCTAACAACACAGGGGGAAAGTGCAGAGAATTTAATTCGCAAGCACTATATTTGACCCTGTAACTCTCCAAGACACCATAAAACCTGTACAACTCAAACATTAGTGTTTCAAACTGGTAAATTGTATTACAACGATGATATTTTAAGTAAAAGTGAAGTTTTTTGATTTTTTTACAAACGGACGGCACTTTTATGGACTATATTATTGTTGTAATATGTTTTACTGTTACTGTTACTGTTACTGCTTTTATGGTTTTTTGGAAAGTTAGAGAGTCACATATAATGCTTGCATTTCATTTTTTTGACATTGAAATTTGCCAGATTGGTTATGTTGCCTTTGAGAGCGTATGGTAGCCCAGGAATGAGAATTAATTAACCCCATGATGGCATACCATTTGCAAAAGTAGACAACCCAATGTATTGCAAGTGGGGTATGTCCAGTCTTTCTTAGTAGCCACTTGATCACAAACACTGGCCAAATATTATTTTTTTGCTTTTTTCACACAAAAACAAATATGAATGCTAACTTTGGCCAGTGTTTGTGACTAAGTGGCTACTAAAAAGGACTAAACATACCCCACTTTCAATACCTTGGGTTGTCTACTTTTTCAAATGGTATGCCATTATGGGGGTAATTCTCATTCCTGGGCTACAACATCATCTCAAAGGTAACATTACTAATCTGGCAAATTTCAATATGAAATTGGAACGTTCTATATTTGACCCTGTAACTTTCCAAAACATCATAAAACCTGTTAATGGAGGGTACTGTTGTACTCGTGAGACATCGCTGATTACAAATATGTGCATTTTTTTGCAGTAAAACCTAACAATATTATGACATTCACAGCTAAAATGTCAGACGGAAATACAAATTTTTAAAAAAATCTTATTTTCTCACATATTTTTAGATATTATTCATAATAAATTATGCTCCATATAAGAATAGTTAATGATAAATTAAAGCCCTGTTTCTCCTGAACAAAATGATATATAACAAGTGTGGGTGCACTTAATGTGACAGCGGTGAATTACGGTTGAACAGACATATAGCGCAAATTCCAGTTTTTGTTTATGTTTTGTTTTGATCAGAACGTGCACTATTGACTCCGTCCTGAAAGGGTTAAGCTTACAAGATATGGCACAGAGATACTGAAAGTAAACCTTGGGATAGTCCAGAGATAGAGAATTATATTGGGATTGATCCTTTCCAAGTTAGCCAATATATTTTCTAATAAAGCTGTATTCCAGGATTTGGTATCATACCCCTATACAGATATGTACTATATCCCTACCTGGCTTCTACCTCTTGTTGCATATTAGCATTTGTATCACTTGTATATACTTTTGTTTATTTATTATTTCTTGGTCTCAATAGCATTTATCTTTATTTCCTTATAATAGCCAGCATATGGTTACAATTACACTGCTATACATATATCCAGGAGATGCATCTGATCTCAGAGCATTGTATGCCCTGAGACTAGTAGCATCTACCCCCTATTTTTGTTCTTCATATCTTTCTAGCTGATACTACGGTCATCCCCAGATACTGGAGGTCATCAACAATCCCTACTATTAAAGATGTTTTTAATTATATACTTGAAAATAAGGGGTACGAGCTGGCTCTCAGACCACCTTCTTTGCAGTTAAATAACCTTAGACACTACTGGGATGAATGAGAAACAAAGATTAAAAGAGAATATAGGTTTTGATTGCTTGCATAAAGAAATGTATTTGGAAAATTGTTTGAAAAAAAAAATGTTATTCTATTACGCGATTATCTGAACTCCCCTTCCCCTTTTTTTCCTTTTTTTTTCTTCTTTATTTGCCCCCCCTCCCCAATTTTACCTTTTTTCATTTTACTTATTAACATTGCAATTTAATTGCATACCGTAGTTCCTTCATACCAATATGTTATCACAATGAAGATCAACTACAAAGTGCCTGTTCAATACTTTCATCATCGATTTACATATGGACTTGATACATTGATATTTACTCTTTTTATGTATAACATATATGGTATTTTCTTTTTCATTGTAAAAGTTATTGTTATTGTAAAAATATCTCTTTAATAAAATATGTTTGAAAAAAAAGCCTTGAAAAGTATATAATATACATTTGTAAACTTACACACAAAAAAGAAACTTGGAATCTGCCAGACTGAATGCTTACAACATGCAACTAAATGCCAAAAGTACATGCAAACAATCTATCCCACAAGGATAAATATTGGTGGATTGGCGCTAAGTGAAGTGCAAATACAACTACCCTTAGTGTCTATAACCACTAACAAGACACTAAAACCATATTAATGCATATAAAAAGAATATGGGATGTGCATAGATAACCACTAACATGCAGTGAGTAATACTTGGCTTAAATGATTGAAACAAAGTGCACTTTGAAAAAAAAAACCAAATAGGTTGAAAAGCATTGAGCTTTGAAAGAGAACTTAAGTTCCTGTATTTTTACTGCTAATTGTAGCTATTATTTTTTAAATTTGAAGTAAATATACTTATATTTATACTCCATTGGACATCTCCTTATTTGATACCAGTGGAATGAGTGAATCAGGAGTAGGGCTGATTGCCTAAACATCAACACCATTATCTACAAGCCAAAATAGCCAGAGCCTGCTTTATGTGGCCCTGGAGAGTGTGAGTGACCCATTACCTCTGCAATTGATTTGTATGTATATGAACAGTATTATCTGAGTTCGGTCATCCAAATTTTGACCAGAAATAGCTACTATAAAGGGTACAAAAGCGACATTAAAAGCTTTTCACAGTACCATAATAAATATAAATATTATGTGTAAATGTTGCACTACAGTGCATTTTGTCATACCCTAAAGGTTCAAATAGGTTTTCCCAAATTATTTAAATGGATGATATCTGGGTAAGCCAAACCGAATGAAATTCAGTCAAGCAAAAATGCATTTTTTTTCCAGTCGAATTGATTTGGCAAAACCAAATTTTCCCAATGTACATAAGATTAGTTGGAACACCAGCCTTTTGCCAAAGATTGACCTAGTTTGACAATTACATAAGACAAACTAATGCCTACTTTGTCTCATGTATATATTCTGATTGCATAAATTGGAACAAAGTCAAAATTAGCTTTTCAAGATTATATTACTAAATGTTTAAAAATGACATTGCATTTTTTACACATTTATTACTTGCTTGTTTTGCTACTAAATTTACATATCCTATGTATTATATTTCACTCACACAAAGCTAAAATAAACTAAAAGTGATATAAATGAAGATCAAACACACAAAAAAAATATTTTGTTTTCAAATGCTTGTCCCACATATGCATAATATGGTACAATGTGTAATATATCATCACTGATTTTTTCTTGGAACTTAATAACCAAGAGGCTGAGCATCCACTTATTG